GTGCAAGCACTTTTTGGGTCGGTGCCTCCTCTGTCTAAAATGACATTTTATCTCTACAGATGGTTCTATAACTGTGACGTTTACATTTCGTGAAGTAATAATAGTGCTCAGATGATGATATTTCTTAGGTTTCAACACCTAAAACCACAGGTAGGAGAGAAGTTTAACAAAATTTGGCTTACAGAACCAACTGTCGAAATAAATGAGTCACCTGTCGAGAATTTTAGAGCCTAACTATTGAGAACGACAATATATCTCGACAGATGATTCCATTACTATCGATATTGACATTTACATTTCACATTCATATTGATGTTCCAGACATGAAGGGTCAGGTTATGATAAACATGATGAGTGTTATATTCATAGCTTCAAATAGCACCACTTTTCATGTACCCAACCATAAGTTGTACATGTAAATGCAAAGACATTTCCAAGAACGAAAAATAGAATGATCCATCACTTAAATAACATGCAAATAACCATGTATAATCATATAAAGACACACATGCACGCTACAAAATGTATAATAGTCAACCTTTGTATAGTTGATCAGAACATGCCCAGTTCAATCTTGGCTCATTCCACAAACTCAAAAATGAAACTCAAACTCATTATGTCCAGTAATGACCAAGAACCATTCAAACAGTAAAACCTAGTTGAACACATTAATGGGTCGATTAAAAACGAAGACCCATACAAACTTAGTATTAGTCTAAAACAATGATGGATAATTTAAATTTTACTTTTAAACGTAAATTGGCCAAATGAAACAAAAAAAAAAAAAAAAAAATTGAAGAAAGCATGATCCTCACCTACTCGATCCAAATGGAATGTTTGAAATAGAATGGTTATCAATGTCTCTGGATGATGACCACAACTCCAAATTCGAAGCACTGAGTCAATAATCGATCTCCTGAACATTATTTATATGAAAAAAGAGTTAAAGACATAGTTATAAGAAATAAATTCATATTTAACTTACATAAACTCTAATGTTAGCATTTTCGTAAAAATAGAAAAAAAAAATGAGGCATATTGTACCAATTCGTGGCAAAAAATACGAAGAATAAAAGAGTAAACACCCCTGAATGTGAAGAATTAGAAAAGAAGAGAGCAAAAAATGCAAAAGAAAAAAAAAAGAAGTAAACCTCAAGAGATTAACGGTGGTCTTCGTCGGCGGTGAATTGATTAACAGTGGTCATCGATGGTGATGGACTGATTAATAGTGGTCGTCGACGACATAGGCTTTTAGCGATTTGAATGAAAGAGAGGGGGTGAATTTAGGGTTAGTGAGTGTCTGAATGATATATTGAGCTATTTTTTTGTTTTTGGTTTTTCACTTTTCCTTTTTTTATTTTTTTATTTTTTTGTTAAATTTGAAAGTTGAGTTATTTGGATGTGACATTTTTTCAGTTTTTTATACAATTTCCATGTAGTCAAATCTCAATCAATGAAAGATACGTAGGGTATTTAAATTCTTTAGAGGGACAATCTTGCAAAGACTTTAAAAAGGTAACATTTGTTAAAATACAAAACCAAAAATTGACATGTAGGGCAATTTTCTCTTTAAAAACTGTAACACGCATTGACAAATATTTAGAGGTTGTGACATTATTAAAAGTAGATAAAAGTTGATAAATCTCATTACAGTGTCGTGAAACACCAAGTTTATCAAACAATTACGTGTTAAATTGTACATTTCATCTCTAACATTAGCTCGGAGTAGCAATTCTTAAACTTTTCTTTTAACCAGCCATTTTTACCAAAAAAAAAGGCATTATCAAGTACTTATTAAATTGCACATATCATCTTTGCTCAAAGTAGCAATTCTTAACTTTTCTTTTTTTCTCAATCTAATCACCAATCTTTCATAATTAGCAAATTTCGTACCTAAAAGACGTTTCCATCCAAATTCATTATTAAAATCAAGGAAAAAGACAAACTTACCCCGTTTGAGTAAAATAGAAAAAAAAAATTGAAAATTGCAATGCACAAAACACACAATAATAATAATTATAAAAAAACACTCATCGGATGTTGTCATATTTAATTAAGAAATAGAATAAGAGAACAATAAATTTCACTTTAGTGTGACACGGGCATGTTCTCGTGCCCACGATGGGCAATAGAACATTTGCCCACCGCTGACGTGGCACCTGCCACGTCAGCTTTACATTGATTTTTTTCACCAACTTTCAGTCATTTTTACCCACCCCACCCCTTTCCTTCCCTTCCCTTCCCTTATGCAATGATTTCTTTTGTCAACTTCCGTCATTTTTACCCACCCCACCCCTTTATATAAATGATTTTCTTTATTTTTGTCTCAATTTTCAAATATATTATGTGGTGTTTAACGTAGTTGATATATTGTATTTTTAATACAATTTTAAAGAACTCACGACCTAGTTTCTCCCATCCCCAACGACGTGCGAAACGGTCAATCGTAGCAAACGTTACCACTCGTCGAAGTAAGTCGTTCCAAAATATATAAACGATTTTACTTATTTTTGTCTCAATTTTCGAGATTATTACGAAATATCAAATGAAGTTGAAATATTACAATTTTAAAACCATTTCAAAGTGCTCACGACCTAATTTTACCTATCTCTAACAACGTGCAAAACGGCTAATCGTAGCAATAGTTACCACTTTTTGAAGTAGATCGTTTCAAAATATATAAACGATTTTCCTTATTTTTGTCTCAATTTTCGAGATTATTACGAGATGTCAAACGAAATCAAAATATTGCATTTTTAATACTATTCTAAAGTGCTCACGACCTAATTTGCTACAGTTAGCCGTTTTATACGTTGTTAGATATGGGTAAAACTAGGTCGCGAGCACTTTGAAATGATTTTAGAGTAATATTTCTACTTTATTTGACATTCCGTAATAATCTCGAAAATTGAGACAAAAATAAGTAAAATCGTTTATATATTTTAGAACGACTTAGTTCTACGAGTGGTAACTTTTGCTACGATTAACCGTTTCGCACGTCGTTAGGGATGGGAGAAATTAGGCCATGAGTTCTTTAAAATGGTTTTAAATATACAATATATCAACTACGTTAGACATCACATAATATATTCGAAAATTGAGACAAAAATAAAGAAAATCATTTATATATAAAGGGTTGTAGTGGAGTGGAGTGGAGTGGAGTGGGGTGGGTAAAAATGACGAAAAGTTGAAAAAAGAAATCATTGCATAAGGGGTGGGGTGATAACTGAGATGGGTGGGTAAAAATGACGGAAAGATGGTGAAAAAAAATCCATGTAAAGCTGACGTGGCGAGTGCCACGTCAGTAGTGGGCAAATGTTCTCCTGCCCACCGTGGGCAGGAGAACAAGCATGTACTATAACATATTCGTGAGTTAAATATTTCAAAAATCATCCAATTTATACTATGATCACGGTTTACTTACTAAACTTTAAAGTATTTTACAGTGCTCAGTGAACTTTTTCCATTTACACTACATTCATCGCCCTAAAAATCCGTTACCTTATGTGTTGATGTAGCTAACGAAAATTTCACATGGCAAGTCCAGCCATCAAAAAATTATAACGCAATCAAACCATATTTCATTACTCATCCAATTTATAATTGGTTATGATTTACTCATATTTCAAAATGCTTTCCAATTATCTATCTTTGAGACATTGTACTTCATTTATCATCCATCGGATTTCATTTCCTTCGTTGTTGACCGTATTGCATGGAAACCTCACTGACAAGTTATAATCATTAAAAAAATTACAACTCAATCATACCATAAACTCATCGAGATCACATGTGAAATGCAACTTTCACGACCCCATAAACTTTTTGAAGTCCAAATAATGCATTCCCAATTTTTGTCCTAAAAAACCCTAGCCCCCAATTCATTAATCTCACTCACGTACAACTAAATTGTCAACTGAAACAAAAACGATTATTGAGAAGGATGCAATAAACTACTACTTATAAAACCCTATTTCCCAATTGTGCCACCTGTTCAGTATCTCTGTGATCCCAATCGTTGCATTTTTGCAAGTGCATGTCCAACTGTTTGAGGAACAATAGGGGGAAGAGAGACGTCAAGCCACAAAACCATGACCAAGTATAAATTGGACGAGTAATGAAACATTGGTTTGGTTTTCTTATAACTTTTTTAACAACCATAACTTGCCATGTGAATTTTTTGTTAATCACGTCAACGAATAAGATTTAAAAAAAAAAATTGAGGGTATCGTATCGAGCACAAACGGAAAAGTTTCATTGAACACTATAAAGCACTTTGAAGTATAACGAGTAAACCGTGACCAACGTATAAGTTAAATGATTATTGAAACATTTAACCACATATTCATCGGATACTACTATGTTGTAATAAACCCAAAAATTTAAATAAAAATACATATTGTAATGTCCATTAGTCCATACATAAACAAATGTGTCAGAAATAATAATAAGACAGCATTTATAGATGACAGACACGTGGATAGATTCATATTTTATCTCCTATATGTATCATTCACCAATTTACATTTAAGACGATGCAATGGATGAAGCTTGCAGAAAATGAAAATGTATCATATTTTATCTCCTCTTTCAAAATGCTAAAACGATGAGTCAAGAAAGAAACTAAAATAGAAAAATACAGAAATAAAAAAAATTAAGTTGTTGTCATACGCAAAGTTCAATAAATTGATACAAGATACAACTAAAATGAAACCCAACAAGACCACTTGCGCAGGTCCTGCTCCTGTATACCTATGGAAAGATGATTTACATGAAAGATGCCCACCCATCTTATATACATCTACTCCAGCAAGCAGTTTGCGATATTATCTACACGGCCTCAATCTTGCCATTCCACCCCCATAACCACAAAACGCGCTCAATGATACACGGAATACACTTCTCTCTACCCAAATCATCAAGCCTGGCGACGCAAGAAGTTGAATTAATTTTGTAATCCGGAAATTACTCTTTTGCAGGAAAGGAAATATCAACCTCCATCAACTCAAATCAAAACCAGCATCAGCATTTATGGCGTACAACAATTTTTGTTCCATTTGCTGTTTACTGTATCAGGATAAATACAATAGCGAAAATAACGTTAGCAATATAAAAGAGCTAGCACAGAATATAAACTGAACATCAATCTAAAATAGCAGAAATTATCTCTGAAATAACAGAAGAGCGAATATGAAATGGAAATCCATCTGAAAGAATTAGAATAAAGTAAATGTGCAAGCACATCGTATGAAGCAGAATACAAATGAACATTAGTTTGCTAAGCAAAATGATCTGGAGTATATGTGACAGATCAATGAGACGACCCCATAATGCAAATGTTACTCGTCCATCAAATTTAAGGGAAAGGAATCCTAAAACTAGAGACACGGAACTCTATAAAAGGGTAACTAAACTTGGACAAACCTTCGGTAAGGAGGAAGCTTCAATAGATTCATGCAAGTAGCTGATGTTGGCAAGCGGAGGGCTTCTTCAGAGGCACTACCAGCAGCCCTATCAGATAAGGAAAATGAAAATCCTAAGAAACTGAGACCTAACTACATAACATATACTGCTCAGCAGAAGTATAAGAAGCATAACCAGCATCATTGTTACCTCTGTATACAGAACAAAGGCTCCAAATACTTAAATCCAAGCAAAGGTCCTCGAGAGCAGCCAGTTACAAACCTAAGACCAGAAACAATTAAAATAAATAAATAAATAATATATATATATGGACTTGAGATGGCACTGGAAAGGTGAAAGTGATGCAAGATATTAAGAGTAAATGGTGCTTTAAGAGTGAAGAAGAACAAACATAGCACTAAAAACAAAAACTTTCACAAAATCAAGCAAAACTATTCAATAGCATGTTAAAAGAGAGGAGCAATTCATTAAACTAACTTCTGCAGCAAATACAACTTGTTCAAAATCCAAAATGTTTCTGAACCTAATACAACTATTGTAAAAACAGAAATATTAAATGGTAAATGGAAACAGATAATAGAAGGCAACCCATACTTCAAGAATTTTCTCTGATTTGCCAAGCTAAGGTTCTGGACAACTTCCCAGAACATCTCAATCACATAGTGATCCTGCAAATAAATTGCTAGTTATCCATACAGTAATAAAAATAAGCACCAGAAAATAAATATTTTTGTAACATGTATCACTATCTGATAAAGGTCATACCCGGGGGCGGGGCAGGGCCGGGGGGGGGGGGGGGGGGGGGAAGTATTCANGGGGGGGGGGGGGGGGTGTTGAGGAAGTATTCAACAAATCAGTTTCCTTCATCACCAGCATTAAAGAGACACAAGTGTACTAAGGGTCATAGACATAGAATGCCGATGGGGTACAAGGTGATTAACGACTCACTAAAAACAGAAAAAGAACGTACAGGTGAATACTACCTGGATCAAAGATAAAGATAATTCTAATACATGAAATGACGAAGAAAGAAAAGATTCCTACTTTGGCTACAATAGGTTTAAAGTAGTGGTTTCTCTGTTCAACCTTTTTATGCGGCTAATGCCCTCATTAAACTTTTTATATGCTCACAAGATCTTTGTATAAACTCAGTATTTTCTAGTTACTGAATTATAGAGATTTATTTTAAATTCTTACTTCCCTGTAAGACAGCTCTTATTGTTTGTTGTTTCATGGCGTAAAATCCTTCAACAAGGGGTCACGGCATTTTTCATATGAAAAAAACACATTTCCATTCTCTATATGGTTAGATCAATCCAAGATTTTAGCCATTAGATTTTTCAATTACAAATCGCAAAACAAGTGCCATGATGTAGAAATCTCCTTCACTAGACCGTGGAAATAATCAAGAAGAGAAAGAATTGAATTTCAAACGTCGAGATTATTTGGGGAATCAAAAAATATGAAGTGAATTGCTCACAGTATAAACAAAATGCAGAACAGTTTACCTGGTGATAGCCACCGGTATAATTAGTATGAGCACGAAGGTCATCAACATCAAAACCATCAACTGATCCAGAAATTAGAAGCTAGGGAAGAAGAAGAAGAAGGAAAAGTTAAAATAAGAGAACACAAGTCACGCATGCACCATAACTTCCTATATAGTAATATAATTTCAAGAACCTGAAATTCGTGCTCATTAAACATGTCGATCCAAACTTTCTGAATGAGCTGTTGAAACCCCCTCAGAAAATGAGAACTTTGTTGGCGTATCTGAACAATTCAAAGTAATAAAATGTCAATATTTCACAAAATCTTGGAGCATGTATCGATTATTGAGTTTAGACTGATGCAATTTCTCATTTTCTGAGTGCTCGTGTTGTTGTTGAGGACGTTGGCAGTGAGGGCATGGAAATGGCTATTAAAAAATTAAAGATGATAACCAAGGGGAAAATAGAGAGTCCCTTACTACCTGAAAGTTCAAACGATGGTTGGCTACCAGATGAATAAATGTAATCACATTCTCGTTAGTGACTCGTATATTTTTCCCACCAGGAAGCAGCTCTTCCTCTGTTTGCTCCCCATATTCATTATTAAGAATAACAAAATACAATTCTAACTCTGATATGTCACCTTCATAATGCTGTGAATGACCACGGAGAAGCAGTTAAATAAAATGAGACATTGGAAAATAATCGAATTGAGTGCAGAATGAGAAGCAGCTAGAGATTTAATATATCTATTTTCATATCACAAAAGGATTTCCTTCACTGGGGATTTCTATCATTTACCTGACAACTCTTCAAGCTCTGATGAGGAAGAAGAGTTTTGTCGCGACATATATACGTTTCAGAAATAATAAACCTGAAGTTTTCCTTTTCTGTAATAGCTTATGCTTTATAAAAAGGAGGTCACCATCGTCTATTCATCCAAATATATATTTTTTGAGTATTTTCTGACTTCAAGTGTTTCATACTACATTGACCAAAATTCAAAATACCAGTCACTAGTTCTTTATTGGATACATAAATTGTAGGCTCTCTTTTAGAGCAACTGGAGGGATCAGTATGGTTTAGACAGATGTGCATAACACACTCTTGGAGAGAAATAAAATCTTGATTTTCATTTATTTCTCAAAATTAAATGTTGGATAACTGCCAACAAAACCTTGCACCAGAGAGCTCATTTCTCGTGCTTTTAGTGTTCATTCTATTGTTCTGAATTCCAGAAACCCCAACATTCATAGCCTTTCAGAAGAACATGAAGTCAAGTCCAAAAAAACGAGATTCTTAATAAATTAGCATGGATGTTGAAAACTTCGACATGGTTTAAGAACTGCATACCATTAGCTCCATTCTCTCGAAACAAATATCCAGAAAAAATAGCCTCTCTCTTCAAAAGTGATGGAGAAGAATGCTTATTTTTAAGAATGCTTATTTTATTTTATTTTTTCTTTTTCCCCCTATTTCTATGGACATTTTACGACCTAAATTTGTGAAAATTGTGAATTGAAAATGGTCAGTTAAGTGGGAAAATGAACTTTGTTACTGTTTTGGGCAAAGCAAGCATAAGTTACTTCTCTTCATTCGATTTAAGCATTTACCAAACTGGTATTAAACAAAGAAGTAAAGATGAAGGAGATAAAGAAAAGTCACCTTCAGGAAAATCAGATGACGGTATAATTCTGGATCCAAGGAGGGTAAGTCATTCAAATAGTTATACCTAAGAAGCAAAAATAAACATTTGCCACAATTTAATGTAGATAATGACAGCCCACAGATAAAAGGTCAATTGTTTAGGCTAATGCGGCATAGCCAAATCTAGAGAATGTTATATATGTCAAATACAGCAAAAACTAATTAAGCTAACATGAAATACATAAACGAAAACCTAAATATTATAGTTGACTTATTTTATTGAGTTAATGTGTTTCATTAAGATCATCTACTATAAGATCCATAATTCTACCATACGTCTGCATGTACCATAAATTTTCTCAACTGCAAATAATCCACACGTGCATGCACCTGGTTCTCAGAAATGTGTCATCTTTGAGTATAAGGAGAGCATTGATATCTTACTATTATGAGTAACCAGGAAGAACGGTTTACAGTCTCAAAAACGTAATAGATGTATCAGCAAATATCATAACTACAATATAATAAATAAAATTATTTTGAAAATGATTGAGAAGAATTGGTGAAAGAAAGACCAAACTTGCAAGTTAATAAGAGTATCTTTCAATAATCAATCTGACTTAACATATACTGCAAAATTCATGAATTTTCTAGGAGAGTTAGTTATATAAATCATTTTCTTGGGGACTGGAAGCCAAACTTCAATTACAAGTCTTTTTGTGTTTAACTTTAGCTTTGGAAATTCCTTGAACTTTGTGTACTAGAACACAAGCCTTATTCCCTAGGCAAAATCAACAATATCATCAGTTAGAACTCATAAGATGGCTATAAAACTATATATAGCAAGGAAGCATTAAAATAAAAACGAGCAGCAAAGAAAACCTTACTTTAGCTTCAATTTGCTTAGAAAGAATGTTGCAAATGGTATATCAACCAGAATCCCTTCAAACATTGCCTACAAAAATAAATGGAATTTATCTCCAATAATAATGTACAGGGAATAAAAGAAACATTACATACAAAAATAAATGGACGTTATCTCCAATAATACAGTACTACAGGGAATAAAAGTCCTTAGTGCAGAGGCCGATAAACTACTATTCGAGGGCGTAAATTTCTAAGCAGTTTGTCGTTTGGAAATGGCTCGTAATGACAGGAGTATAATAATGATGACATGATTCTTAGAAAACAGAGGAGTAAGAAGCAAAAACCTTAATACGCTAATAAACATAGAAGTGCCATTTATGGGCAAATATCATCTTCAATCATAGCAACCAATTATGCAAAGCAATTCAAGACAGTTACAAGAAATTGGTAAGCAACATCCAATCATCCCATATAGTTCAATAACCTATTAACCTCTTTCTCACTACAGATCAACTATATTAACATGAAATTACATTTTAGGCCTACAACTCTACCAGAGAACTGTGAAATGTTATATGCAACACATAACACTGGAATAACTCAAAATGGAAAGAAAGAAGGAAAACAAATTTGACATCCATAGAAATCAATAACAGCAAGTCAAAACAGAGTACAGAAATCCCTTTGTTATTGGAACTTGTAACCTGCTTCAATTAAGTTCCATGATATTTGAAATATCAAATTGGTTTACATCGATAGACAAATTTATGAATTTAGATAAATGCCACTCTTAGAGGTGCAAAATCACAAGCTACATGGCTACAAAAAGCAAGAAGGAAACACGCAATGCCACAAAAATTACCACTCCCGGAACCATGATTTCTATGGGGTTACATTATAGTGGTAGCAACCATTTAATGGCTTGCTTCATAAGGAAGTGAATACTAAGTATGCATTTACAACCAATTTCCAGAAAATATAACATGCTGAAAATGAATTAAGGGCACAACAATACCTTAGCAAGGACAGTCCCAAGAAAGTGAAAAAACTGAAGATGTTGTTCATGTGTCAGTCCAGATCCAGGATTTGGATAGAGGAGGTGATCTGCTGTCTCCTAGATTTGTTAAGCCAGCAATGGAAAGTATAGATCAAAAACCCCATAAAGACACAGAGCAACCAGATGAATTAAAAAAAGCATCTATATCTCAAGTTGGCATAGTAAAAGTGTGGGTTAGTTTCCTTATACTGCCTACAACAATAGTACTTCCAAATAGAATATCATTATTTACTTTGTTGATACAAATTTTACTAGAAATATCTAGCCATGATCTTTTCCAACAGATTATGTAGTTGTTAACGTTGCCTAGACTTAAAAAGCCGCTAATTTGAGTGTTAGCTTTAATCTTTTTTTTGATAACCGTGGATGTTCGGACCAACTTGCGCACACCTCAACTAATCCCATGGGGCCCTGAAGTTTACGGTCAGATACTTACCTCAGTGGCCCTGAGGGGACTCGAACTGGTGACCATTGGGGAGCAAACCCAAGGCCTGAACAACTGAGTAACCCCTCAAGGTTGAATGTTAGCTTTAATCTTATCATAAGGCCCAAGGGTGTACCTGAATATTGTCATGATGTAGAAGATAAGGTGAGTTACATGAATACAATTTGTGAAAATTCTCTTGCTTGGGTCTTGGTCTGAAATTTAACTCCTAACAGTATTTAAACCAATTTATTGAACTCCAGCCCGTTATCTGTTAAATTACATTGTTTCGGCCTGTTATTTTCTACAACTCTAGTTCTAGTGTTCTTTCCCTTCCACTGAATTCAGTTTCCACAACTTCAGGCTAACTGTTCAGCTTATATGGTTGAAGAGCAACTTCAGATTCTTAATCTAACATAGTATGCCAAATAATTAAAAAAGTTTTCAACCAAAAGCAGATCCTTTTTAGAGCTTGTTTGGGATAGATTTTTGAGGGAAGAATTGATTTTGAATAGTGATATGATGGGAAATGTGTGGTTGAAAAAGAAGAAAAAATTATTGATGTGATGGAAAATATTATTTTATTGAAGAATGTGTAGTTGAAAATGAAAATTGATATTTGGGGAAAGAATTGATTTTGAATAGTGATATGATGGGAAATGTGTGGTTGAAAAAGAAGAAAAAATTATTGATGTGATGGAAAATATTATTTTATTGAAAAATGTGTGGTTGAAAATGAGAATTGATTTACTGTACAAAAATTTAATCCCTCCCAAACAGGGCCTTAACAGAATATGGGATAGTTGACAATAGAAAAATTTAGAACAAAGATGAAATCACAATAAGCTAAATCTAGTGAAAACCATCAACCTACGGCAACGAGAAAGTACCAAGGCCACCTCTTCAAAAATGACAATGACACTATCCTCTAGGATGTAAACGAAAATGTATCAAAACAGTAACAAATGTCGGCATGAAAATTTTATTAATAGACAAATTATGAATCTAAAAATGCAAGATCTTGCCATCAATCCAAAAACTTCACCCAAAAAAAAAAGGTGACAGCAGAGAACATATGATCATATTTCATCCAAACTCAACAACCTTTTAGTTGACCTTTTGAATTAGGTTACCCTACTGAAGGATGCCTCTCTTATAGCTATATTGGTGGCAGTGACCATGAATGAACATATTGTAATGGAAAAGAAGTAACAAAAAAAACAATTTGGAGGGTCTCAATTATTTGTTCTTAGAGGTTCTCCACAGTTGCATATCATGGGATTCACATTCCCTTTTTGGTTTGCTAGTAACAAACAATTAATCTTTCTTAATTAGATTTTTCAGTTTGCTTTTTATTTTTTTATTTTTTTTTGCGTAAAGAAAGAGTATATCTCCACAGATCTCTTAAATAAGATGTTAAGTGTCTGTTCATGTACAACTGCTTGTGCAATGGTTGTTTGGTTTCCACCACCTAGTTTCTGATTATGCTGGACCAAGAGCTGTCCTCATTAGTACATTCTAGTTATTCATCACACATTTGTGCATACTGAAGAACAGCTCTGTGCTAAATTCTGTATTTTATTGTAAGTACTATTTCTTTCAGTTGCATATTTTATTTCTCAAATCGGTGAGAACAATTGGCAGATTAATAAACATACAAGCACATAAAGAGCAGAGACAGGGTGGCAGAAACATGTCCACCTTAAATAATCCATACTGAACATCAAATGCTGCTCGAGTAATATTCTCCATGAAATCTTTGAAAATTCCACCACCGTCGATGCCAGCCTCCTCAACACCAAATTCATTGACAAAAGTTATACGAATCTGGATACATCAAGGAAAAAGCTATATCAAATAGAAAGGAAAGATATAGACAAAGAATATATGTATATTTGGTGAAAAAGGAAAAGATTGTGTGCGCGCGTGTATTTGATGGTATATATGTGGCAGGGACCCTAAGAGCATATATTCAGAGCTGAAGTACAAAATTGGCAGAGATAATAATAGAGACTCACCACTCCTCGAAGATCTTCTTCAGCTAATGCATTTAATTGATTAAAAGCATCTTCCAAAATATGATCTCTTCTTATTTTGAATCTGTTCCTCGTAAAAATACCATGAGAACTATTTCCTTCTTTCAAGACAGCTAATTGGGACTGCAAAGTTCAATTTAACCATTAACTTATGGAGAACTAGAAGTCAAATTAACCAAATAATTTAGATGGCAAACCATGCATCTTATGCGTCAATATTCAAGAATCAAGCTACAAAGAACAAAACTAAAAATGTAGTTGCAATGGATCAACCACTCACGTTAAATATTTTAGCTCTGCTTGTAAACGGCACCAAGAAGGGAGCTTGTTTCAGTATGTCATTCGCTCTTGTATTCTCTGTCATTGCCTGGAAATGGGTAATTCAGAATGTCTGTTAGCCGAAGACTCAATTAGAAAATCAAAATTTTAAAAAGAATTATTACCTGAGAAATAAATACATCATTGACACCGTCAGCATGGAAGTCACTAGGGGGTGTAAATTCTCGTCTGTTGTTCCAATCTTGCAACTAAAAACAATTTCCATATTAGGGCAATTTTGTTGGAAATATTACCTAGTCCTACATTACTTAGGCTCAGACATACAGAAAAATATTCACATTTGATTTTGAATAACAATCATACATAAAGAACTTCTAGCATGTGATCCCATGTACCTGTGATAGAAGCTCAGAAGCAACAACACAAACCCTGTGCTGAAGAAATTCTATGGGGTGCCTCTTCATAGCAGAAGCACCATCTTCTGACTTTGAGAAGTTAGGTGTTGTCACGGAATTCAGCCAAAGAATCTGCCATAAGGCCTAGACAAGGAGTAAATCCATGCATTACAATTATGTCACTGAAAAACCTTTTTATTTGCAATAATAACTGAAACAGAAGTAACATTAGATGCTACTTCATTTTTCAGCTGTATCAGGCACCATTTTGCATGCATTAGGACTACATTTTTTAGAATATTTGACTGATAACCTGGTAAAAGTCAACCTAACCACAGTAACATAAAGTGTACACTCCAATAGAGCCACATTATACACATAAATGACAATAATTAGTCTTGAAACACTCTTCTTTCCGGTTGGTCAACGCAACAGATTTAGCAATGAATATCTTCCTAGATGACAGTTATTCATCTGAAGGCCCAGAGCAGCTAGCATTTGCAAGATGTTTTCCTTTTTCTACGAGCCTTCAGGCTCCTTCATTCATCTCACATGTCATTAACCATACGATGCGGCATATTTGTCAGGATGGAGTGGAATCTAGAAAAAATTCCCTGAAAGGATTTCTTTTTCTTGTCGTCATTTTCCAAAAAAACATTTATATAAAGATTGGTATGCCACCTTAAGCTCCCGTGTCAAAACAATGTCTAAACATCTATGAAGTCAGCTACGTTTGACCAATTGAGCAACCCCTCAAGGTTACAATCTTTTTAATTTTCAGTCTGCACAATATAAAACATAGACACTCCTCCTAGAGTAGCATGACAGCGCGATCTCCTCCTAGAGTGGAGTGTTGGTCCCCAACACGTATCAGACATCAATGCGCCAAGATACGCGTCTGATCCTAAAATCTAGGGACATTGTATGACGCATCACAAGGCGTGTCCTGTATTTTCATGTTTAAATTTCAGATACAAAAGGGCCACGACACCGATATGCCAAGAACATGGTAAGAACTAAGAACCATTTTGTAAATTTTGGAATAAGAAATTAAGTCAAAATAATGTGAGAAAAAATTGTACAAACTTGATGTACCATATGCACTTTTTGACATGAATAGCATTAGTAATACAAGGTACAACCAAATTTACATTAATACGACAAATAGCCACTCCTTAAATTCAAAAGATTTTACTTACAGATGAAAAGTAAGTATTAATTTATTAAAAATAAAAAAGCATAAGAATAAATGTATAATATTACAGTGTCTTCAATATATTTGTCTCCTACTTTGTAAAATTATGTGTCAAGAGTGTTCATGTCCCCAAGTTTGCATCCGTGCTGTGTAGTCTGTACCAATCATTAGCATGCCTATCCAGGTTAGAGTTTACCTGTCTTAAGATGACAATTAAACATCTGATGTCCACCAGTGATAGTGGTTTCTCCTGTTCATAGAACTCCTCATTATCGACAATCATTAGCATGTGCCTGGGCAAACAAAAGAGGAGATAACACTATCTGCTCAACTTGCATCACAAGTAAGCTACCACAGGACACGTACAATATCAAATTAAAACTAAAACGTCTTACTTGTAAACAGGGCAAAAAACAGCAAGGGGTAATAGCCAACCAGGTGCATCTGCTGGCAGATAAGCTGACTGCTCGGACAAGGATGACCACTTCTGATTCTCATGGCATCGCTTCATGAAGTTCCAAAGTACAGGAACCAGTTCTGTCCTATATGCTAGTACAGTCATAATGCGCTCAAGGGGCAAAATGTTGAAAGTCACATGCAAGAAAGCACAAGCTGCACCCACAGCTGCCACCTCCTTATCATCAGGGCTTCCTCTGGCTGGTGAAAACCCTCCCAAAAGAACATTTGTCTGCTCAAGAAAAGCATAAAAAACATTGCTTTAGAGTAAAAAAAAGAGAGTATCTTATTTTTACTATCAAATGCATGCCATCTGCTGCAACTTGTGTAACAAGATTTCCTACCAACTGTAGAAGAAATCGTGGATCTATTGCGCTGGAAATCTGTTGTTCCAAATCTCTATTCAACTCTATATCTGTTAGATCATCACCGCCAAGCATTTCATCTTCACCCATTCTGGAATCTGAAGTAGAGTTGCATGCACAAGCAATTTCTTACATTAAGAATTGAACTCAACTAAAAGCATGCTTGGGAAGTGTTCATAAGAAATTTAAATTATAAATAGACATAAACGAGCGGTGGATAAGTGGGTAATACTTGTAGGTCCTCAAAATGAGTGGATAAAAAGCGACTTGAGTAAACATAAGCAGTTTTTAAACATGAGCCAAACATATGCTAAGCCTTATCTCACTCATTCGTAAACAATGTCAAATAATTAATGACTCAGAAATTGATGTTTTCAGTAAACAAAAATGTAAGAAAACTCCAGTATGCTATGAGAACACACCATTATTTCCTTGATTTGATGCTTGGATAGGAGGAATTGCTTGCAACAAAAATGTTGCGACAGTTGCAAAATCTACGGCCTGGTGAATCAGAAAATCCCAACAGAGAAAATTTATAGCTAATTAGAGAAAAATATTGAAGTTCAACATAATCTGATACGGTACAACTTTTAGAAAAAAAAAGGAAGCGAGGATGTACCAAAAATCTTCTAGGAACCATTACTGAAATCATTGACATATAATACTAACTCAAGAAACATTAAAAAAAATAACTTGTATTACAGATGCAAACACAACCCCAAAATAAAGGGCAAAATAATGGTAAGGCACTATAAATAATAAATTGCACATAGTTTATTCATGGAAGACAATAAAGTTTAATAAAGGGGCATGCACTTGTTTGCTCTTTGGCCCAAATATAAAAGAGAGACTCTTTCCTGCTTTACGTAAATTTGTACAAGTGTTTCTCAGACTAAAACACTCTATAGAGGACCTTGTTCAAAGTTACCGTTCATGGCATGTTTCACATCCTCCATAGACTGCCCAAGTGATGATGACTGTGAGTGGTATTTTCTGCAGTGCTCTGGTTCCAATTCTGACAGTGTGGAATTTCAAAAAGAAAAGAAAAGAAGAAGAGGAGGAAAAAGACGAAGACGGAGGAGGAGCTTGAGTGCATGATTGAAAGAAATAACTTGAAATTGGTTGAAGTAACATTATTCCCAGCATTGTTCTCCATTCATAATTTAGGCATCCACTTTATCATCATTTATTTTCACAATTATAATTATTCCCTTCCTGTAAAGACACTAAAACTAAACTTAGTCAGGATCTACACCGTTTGTAGAGGGATCATGGCAAGCATGTGTGAGGGAAAAAGGAAATGAATCGACAATAAGGCAACAAGTTAGGCACTGCCCAAACAATAGAGATATTAGGGACCACCCAGCTGTTATTTTGTCCATACTCCCATTATGCTGCTTCAGCTTAAGCCTTTCCTAGTCATTTTCATAGATGACGAGATAAGACAATAAAATACTTCAAGCAATGAAAATTATTAGCTTCTTGATGAAGATAGTATTTAAATGATAAATACGTGGCCACGTCTAACTGCTTAAATTTTTAAGATCAAGAGGTGCAATAGCATGATCGAAGCCTCCCATTTATTAAAACTTATGCATATGTAAGGCTCATATTGAAAAAAGAATCAAATGAGAGGTTGTGTTTAAGATAATATTTAAGTGATAAATGATTGATCATATCTAACAAAGCTTTTAGATCAAGTGATCCAATAATACTATTGATGCACATAGTAGGCATATTTCTCGTGAGCATTATCCTATAACTGTTGTACGAATTTCATTTGCAATCACTTGGCCCCCTTGCTTCAAAGGTTTGGAACACGAAATAAACAACTGGTTCCTAATAATTCAATCATTCAACTTCCATAGCGTTCTCTTTTGCAACCTTTTTTTATGGTTTTGATGAAACTCACATGAAATGCACGTGTGTGGTTTAATCATCATGCCATATGAAAATGACAATTTGGAACAATCAATTGCAGGGATTTATTTTACTATAAACAAATTAGTGAATATTCCAGGAACAATTATTGTCTGAAACTCAATTTTTGAGACACAAGTGAGAAGTATATTATGAACCCAATTAGTGGAGAAAGTTTCAAAATAATTCACTTGACAACAAGAGTAATCATGGAAAGTGAAGATCAGATAGCATCCAGTGTGCCAGTGAATCACAGGGGATTTGTTCACTGAACAGAGCAAGTAGAAAAGGAAAAAGAAAGATAACGGAGAAAATAAACAGAAAACTTCTTTACCCAATCAAATGAACCTGGTTGAGTAAAAGCAACACCAGCAGCTTCCAATAGATTTCCTAGAAGGCAGGCATAACCAGGAAAGTCACTTGATATATCAGCTGGAAGAACATTAGTATGATCTTTCACACAAAGCGCCATCTGGTGGACATAATGTTGACTTAACCCTGGTGTTGCAAAAATCTGTAAATGGAAATAAAATAAATAAAATAAGTGGTCATAGTACAATCATAGATGCCGATATCATGGACCGCAGATACAGACAAAGATTGTTTCACAGTTATAAACAAGAAACATATACCCCCTCAATAGAATAGGTTGGGCAGATATTATCTTCAACATTTTTTCTCTTTAAACATGGAACATATTCAACCACATCCAGAATCCTGTATTTCCTAAACAAGGATAATGAAACTAAATTGTAATACAAAATGGTGATGTAAACTACCTCTTTGAGGTGTGGAAAGAGCCGCCACAAGAATGGAAATGTAAAAATTTGGGATGAGAAACTCCAGCAAGGATCAATATCTGGACAACAACACGTTCCCATACCCACGTGAGAAATGATATGGGCAAGAACACGCTCCAACGAAGAGACAATCCCAATGGAACCTTGAAAATTTTCCTAAAAATATTAAATCACATCATTATCGTTATTCATGACAGCTACAGTAGATCTCAGATCAAATCGATACATAACTGCCCCTACAATCCGAGCACTCTTATAGGTAAAATAGCAATCAAAGAACTGGACGATTATAAGCAAGAGCATTCGGTTTAAACTAAAATAAAAGGAATGTTGGGCCATAAATTTACATCAGGCTACTATACCAATTCGAAAAGAAAATAATACATTAGGCTCAAATATCTGGAATGGCTATCAACATATGAGTCCCTATTGAGACTTGTACTCAAGAAAGTCACAGCTATCAAATATCATACTACATTGCTGATCTACACATCATACTGATAGTGGCGATCCCAGTCCTCATACACCACGTCATGATGCAACACAGTACAGCACACCTATGAGCATTTGTGTATACTTAATTAACCCACATGTAATTTGAATTCTGTCTCCACATGAAAAGATTTGAAATACCCAATCTAAATCCATGTAATATCATCGAAGACATACTTATCAGTACAAAGTAAGACCAAGTTTTACTCTGCCAAAGTTAATTGCTCAAAACGCATTATTTGTTTATTGTGTGAGGTGACGTGCATCATTTAATGGAAATTAGAACTTTTCAATAATTAAGCATGCTAGTCTTGAGTCTAGATAAGCCTCAAGTCTTTAGTCTCGAGTCTAGGTAATTCTCATTCTTCAAGTGTGTTGACCAGGGTGCAGTTTGCATCGTAGAAGGCATCCAGAAGCCATCATAAAATGCATAGCATTAATTATAAGCAAACAATTTACATTCTTACTTTTCTATCCGCAAGATTAAGCACTGGAGAATGAAAAGGATGAAAAATGCCCTCCTCAAACATGTATCCACTACATAAACCGACCCCAATCCAGAGGAAAATGTAGTAAAAAGGATGAAAGACCATCAGATTACTTCGAAATTTTATGCAGAAGTACACAGTATATAGCCATATGTGCATACCCATAAATACGAATCTATTCATTGCATATCCTCTATGAATGGAACACATAAAGAGAGATTATGGTTATGACTTGCAATCAGAGTGGAAATGTACCTTCCCAGTCAAAATAATCTCTCTGAACAAGGAAAATATATTTCTGCGCAACAGATAGCTGATTGTATTACAAGCCCAGGGAAAACTTTGATCAATTAACAAAATTATTGCCTTCAGTAAGACGTTTGCTGATGTATTGGACTTTTCTGATGCCAAACATGGTTGATCCTTGAACCAATATCTATGAAAACCAAAAGATTGAAAGAGATAAGTTCATGGTTGCACAGCAGAGTGCCAAATCTTAGTTCAAATTATCAATTGCAGTGGATGCAAAACACATTCCAGTTTACAAAACACTACCTGAAACATATTGAACAAAATTAATTCATCAATTGAGTAGCGAGTAAAAAAGACTTCCATTGAGTCTCTATGCAGCCCTTTTCTTCGCTTTATGAACCTTTGTTTTGGGCAAAAGAATTTGGCCTGGATCCCTCTTTTTTACAAGGTATCCTCAAATTTCCAAAGATGGTTTATGGGCAGACATTGATGTTGACAATTTCAGCGATTATGAGAGTGGCCACAAACCAACAAAATAATATACACAGCACGTGAAGACATGGAGTATGACAAGAGCAAGAAATATAAAAATTATTTTCTCTCTTTAGCTCCCAGCTCTATAGACTGTTCAAATTTTCTACACCATTTTTCATTTGTTGGAGGTTAGGTTATATGCCTCCTCCCAAGTGTGTATTTCCTTTTACTTTTCAGTATTAATAAATATTTCACCTGCTTGGTGGTTTGATAATAACAACAAGACTCAATCGAATTAAGTCTGTTTCTCTATATTTTCCATTCCTTCTGTTTTAAGATTACGATATCATCTTGATGCCATTCGTTTTTCCATTTAAACTGAAATTCTAGAATTTGTTGTTACTCATAAGCTAAATATTTTTTGAAAGGTACTCGTAAGCTAAATATATTCAAGTTTTTAATGTATTCCCTGATTAATCCATATTGAAATATTCATAAAAGCATGCACCAGACTCCAGTCAAGACTAATAATGAAAACAAAAGACGAGAAAAAAAACAAACATGAAAAGGAGTAAACCAGATTTTGGCAGCAAATAAGCATAGGTGCTCTTGTCTTGTCATTACAATAATGTATATGACTCGAAAGGATTCTAAAAACGTAGTATATTCTTCATATAGACATGCAAAATATCTTATATTCCATACAGAAGCTCCGTTGAAAGTTGAGAAGAGGTTTATTTACAGAAAATCACACGCATTGATCTGTTCAAGGCTCTTTTAGCATTGACCACCAAGATGCAAAGAGACATTAATTTGTAATTGGATGAGTCAATCTTATATCTTAATCATGGATTTTCTCACAGATGGTATTAATTGGTCATTTTGGGTCACCATTTTGACCATGATGTACCATAAATAAATTATCTGAACTCATGACAAGGATTTTCAGAAAAGGAATAATCCTTTATTTAGTTATGGTAGGAACTCTAAGAGCTGACAATGTGATGTCTTTTTATGATCATAAAAGAAATGCACTGTTGATTTCAAGCAATCAGATTTGATTTCAACTTAAAATTACAGAACTACAAAATGTACGGTTATAATCAACTTCCATCCTATCATTACAGCAGAGTACAGACAGCTTCCTTATTTACAAGTGTAAATAATTCATAAGAATAGCAGGTTGAGAATTTGGGAGAACGTAAGATCCAAGAAATAAATACTCTAACCTACTGTGCCTACAAAGAAACAAAAAGGTACATTGAAACGAACCTGTTTTCATAGAGCACCCGGATGCAAGCATAAACAAGATGCTTAACTCTGTAATCCACCAGACCACGTTTGCAAGAGTAGTCTGTGCCTGCAAAGAGGCCCACTACATTTCCTGTGGAAAGATAAGTAGTTTCAATAACAAGATCAAGTACTGGAGCAAATAGATAGGGACAAGCAACAATAGAAAAAATCAGAAGAATAAAATAAAATTTAACGATGCATAGCACCGCAAAACAAAATGGCTGCATATGCAACCAAATTTGACCACGCATGTGCAAATTGTTAACTAAAGTAGAAACTTTTCTGTACAGTCCAACTACAGCAACCAAATGCAAACTGTAAAATTTCTGCCATGAATCAAAACAGATACAATGCTAAAGCATAAGAGTATTGATTGTCCTTCAGTGGACTCAAAAGGATAAAAGGCAGGGGGAGAAAAGCAATCTTAAAGCAAAAGCCTGTTAAAAGTGTCTCCTAAATAACATTGAATATATCAAATCTTCAATGCAGACAACATTTGTAAGACGCGTGACAGAACCAGGACACGCACCATTATCTTGAACAAATTCTTGAAGCAATCGGCATGTCTCCACAAGGGCAGAAACATCAGCAACGTGCTTTGGATTAAAGAAGAAAAGCAGCTGGCGGAGAAAATCCGAATCTGGACCAAAGCACTGCCTGAATATGCATATAATAAACGAAAAATATGAAACAAACAGATTTTTGACAGCACTAACAGACCAATAAATATTACAGGAAGAGATGGCACAACAACGGGAAATAAAAGCATTACAAAGATAATGCACCACTTTGAAGCATGAATATGAAAAACTTCGGAGAAAAATGTGGATCCAGTAGAGTACCTGCTAACGTCTTCGCAAGACTGCCCAAAAGTAAGAAAAAACTTGTCTCGCACTCTGGAACGTTCCGCCTCGACTTCTTTTCTTCCTCTAAAGCATTTCTGTAACTCGTAGCAAGTCAAGTTCCAAACTTCAAAAAAATATGTATATGAGAAGTTTCTTTGTTTCTCATGTCCCTTTTAAAAATGACAACCAATGCCTAAGATAATGCATTTAATTTTGAAATCCCAAGACAAAATAAGAGCCTCACTCAGTAAGTCAGTAGAAATATAAATTCAGAATAACAATTGAGCAAAAGTTTCAATATAGCTCAGGAAAATACTTTTAAATCTAAAGCACAACCTACAAAAATGAACTAGGACTTCCAATTATTGAAATCAGATCATGAATAAATTAAACAATATAAAGACCCATGCATGCGTGGCAATGCTATATTGCTCACTTGTTCTACAAAACCTACTTGTTTATTAATAAATAAATACTCATACTGCAAAGTTTAGATAAATATTTCTTCTTTCTGAAAAATAGGAACTTTAGATTTTTGGATTGGTATAGAGAGGAAAAGAAACTTTAGGAAAGTGGTTTCTGGGGAGTTGCTCATAAAGAATGGTCCGTGCCCCTTTGAGAAAGGAATATAGGAGGCAAAGGTTGAATCATGCAGACAGCTCTACACATCAATACTGCAACATGGAATAAATAATTATTTCATGATAAATAACATGGAATGATGCTAGTTCTTAAAACATTGATAAAGATACAACTACCAGAGCTACAAATCCACTTCATCAATTTAACTGAAAGCACCAACAAGCTTCTTTCACTTCAACACATTTGTTTCTAGGTCCATGCCTAGTACTTAAGTTTGAGCTGTTAAAGAATGGGGCCGTAAAAAAAAAAATTTAACATGATTAAACCATCAATCTGTCGTCTCTCAATACATTTCTCCTCTTGACGATGCATTTTCCATTTATAGGTCGATGCCTAGTACTTAAGTTTGAGCTGTTAAAGAATGGAGCCGTACAAAAAATAAAAATTTAACATTATTAAACCATCAATCTGTCGTCTCTCAATACATTTCTCCTCTTGACAATGCATTTTCCATAATAATTAAGCTAAGAAACAGCTTTAAATTTAAAGAGAAGAATCTGGAAAAAACTGTAGGAGTAAAGTCCATTCTTCCACAAAATCACCTCATACGAAACATTAAAACACAAATAATTTAACGTGATCGAGCATCAAATTACAATATATAAAAGAAGAAACAAAAAAAGAAAAAAAGACCTGAATTTTAATGGCAGCAGAGTTCTGTTGACGCAACCAGAGTCGGCGATTCCGCTCCAAGCGGGTCTGCTCCAGGAGCTTCTGGCGGTCTCTTTCTTTGGAGCTCCGACCTCCTAAATCAACCCGTTTCCGGTTCGATGGATCCCCCGAAAAATACATTATTTTGATTTTACTCTCTCCTCAGCCCAATTTTGAACCCTAACAATGAAAAAAGAACAGTTGCAGAGAAAAACTCAAAACTTGTTTGGCAGGAAAAGTATACAATTAATAGGATACGAATTATAAGTTGTGCGCCTGTTTATTTATTTGATTAAATTCTCATTGGGCCATGTTGTGATTGCCTAATTTTCCATGGAAAATGTCAAGAAAGACGAATTCTATTTTAACAATCAAAGTTATCAAACATGAAAATGGAAATCGAATTTCGAGATACAAACATTTTAAATTGCATTTTATTTGTTTCCATGGAAAATGAATTCTTATGAATTTGGTGAGTTTTTTTTTTCCAACTAATATGAAATTGAAATTCCTTTTTATATTTACCTATCAAACGGACCATTAGTATTTATTGATTATTGTTACATGTATATCAAGATTTACATAAAAAAATTATATAATGTGCATGACGCTCTATCATTTGCCAATTTAAACACAACAACCTTTTTTATTCAATTTTTTCTCTCCACATCATTTTTTATAATCACTTATATACTAATTTGATGTACAAGTAATAAAATCATTGTTTATTATACTTTAAAGGAGATTAGCGACTTTATCTACATCTACAATATATTAAAAGGGAGGATTGAGAGAAACTTTTGAATACTCAATTTACCCATACATATTTAGCTATTATCTAACATACCCTTATTTAATTTTAGTTTTGTTAATGATTAATTAATAACATTAATTCCTTATATATTTATTTTTAGGGGTAATTGCAACAAAAACACAAAACATTTGAAACATTAGCAGATTTTTCTCAAACCTTTGATTTGTTGCAACTGTCACTGATAAGTGTATTTTCTACACTTATTCGGGGTTTGAAACTCTAGAATTTTGTTGTCTTTTTGACAAAATACGACCTAAATTATATTATATTGTATCTTGTAGGTAAAACTCAATATTTGATGAAGAATTGGAGAAAACAATGCAAAAATAGCGAAAAATGGTAAAATTCAAAGTTCGAGAATTAAATTGCAAATACTCAAGAAGATACTTTGAAAATTGTTAGGAGACAATTGGATGAAATTAGAATTTAAAAAGGAATGGAACATGATCGAAGTATTATCAAAATCAATTTCCTATCGCTCAAGATATATTCCAATTTTTTAGCCAAACATTGAGACCCCTTTTTGGAATAGTAAACGTTCGAATTGGAAAAACTCTATTTCAATCAAAGTTGTAGCCCTTTAAGTTATCTTTCTAACGCACTTTGAATCGTATCAATTGGATATCAGAAGAGAAAGTTATGACTAAAATACAGACTACTGTGCAGAGACAAAAAATTCGCGCGCGAAGGCAACTTTCCTTATTCGATTAGAACTCTTTTGGAAATCAATTTGGACGTGATTTTCAACCAATTTTCGGCTCCTATAAAGAGAGATCAGCAGAATGCATATGAAGAACCTCCTACGTAAAAATCTCTATATTATACATATTTTGGAGGCAAAGAACATGACTAACAACGTGGAATCCAGGCAAATTGCATAGGATATTGAAAATTCTTCATCCGGACTCAAGATTCACATCAAGAACGTGGATTTTTCCCACTTCTTCCATCTTTCTTATTTCCGGATGATATTTTTCCAATTACTCATGCGTAATTTAATTATAAGAATGTTAAGCTAATTTTTCATTGTATTGGATGAATGATGAACCATATTATTTATTTGTTTTAATTCGAGACAATTAATTTAGTACTTCTTGATTTTTCTTGATTGATTTTGCATTTTCATTGAAGTATTTGATTGTTTGATCACCAATTAAATAGTAAGTTGCTTGTTGTAGTGTAAGAATACTCACAATAAATCTAGAACGCGGCAAAATCAACACATGGACTATAGGTATTAGGAATAATGTTTATGGCATGTGCAATCATGTGTGATAAATCATGTGATTCAATACATGTTTTTCATATGAATTCGGACTAAGAATATGATTGGGTCTTGTTAAATATAGGTTTAATATATCTTGAAAAAGAATATTGAATAAAAGTGGATTATCGATTGTCTTGAATGCGTGAATTTACTAAATTACGAATTAAGAATTGAAATAAATGGCAATAGGGGGATTCATGATTCCAATACAAACATTTACATATTAGATAAACACTTTAATTGTTTTGTTAGTTTATGATTAATATATATTACATACAAATCAAATCTTTTGTTGATATTATCACACTTCGAATTTAATAGTAGCTATTGAACTACAAATTAGACCTTATTCCTCGTGGGAACGATACTCTTAACTCACATATTTTATTACTTGTACAACGATCCCGTACGCTTGCGGGTTCCTCGGGAACCTAATATTTTCAAATATTGCAGGTGAAGCCATTTTGGACAATTTTCATCTATAATTCTATCGATTGACCAAAAAATTTAACTTTGATCACATTTTTAATATTTTAAAAAATGGCAAAAGAGTAACTTTCCATTTATCACATTAAATAATTAAATAAAAAATAAAAAACACACACACACACCCCGATGTCTTCTTCTTCTCAACCTTCACCCATCCCCACCTTAAACCCAAAATCCACACTGACAACCTCCACCTCCATCACCAACTCAAACTCTTGTCAACACTTGGTTTCGTTCAATACATATGGCTTCCCGTCTTGGAATGACAGCGATTTTTCAATGTTTAATTGATTCTGGCTGTGATCTGAATTCAAAAACAGAGATTGGTGAAACAACATTAATAATCTGTATCAAATACAAGTAGAAAGAGTACCTTAAAGTATTGGCCAGTGAAGGTGCTAATTTTGGATTGGTTAACATAAGTGGCCGACCTACAAGTTCTATTGCTAGGTCTTGTGGGTGGTATCTTGGCTTTCAACAAGCATTGCTTGATGTGATTCGAAATGGGAAAGGACCAACATCCAACAACACTTATGTATTTTCACCTCTATTATTTGTAGCTCAATTAGGGAATGTTGTAGGCTTGAAAGCTCTGATTGGATAAGGAAACACTAACCTTGATAAGCAAGATGAAAGAGGTTTCTCTACAGTTATGCTTACAACGAAAGAAGGTCATGTCGATTGATTCTAATTGCTCGTTGATGTAAAGCTTTGTAATAAGTTTGGTGAAATTGTTATTACACTGTTTAAACCGAGTCCAAGTAGAGATCTCTTTGAGAATGTGATGCTTGAGTTTGCCCTTAAAAAGGGAAATCGCATTGCTGGAGGATTTTATGCCTTGCACTATGCAGCTTGCTATGAGGATTTGGACGCGGATAGGTTGTTGACAAGGGTTTGAGTTTGCGGTGGAGGTGGCGGTGGTCAGTGTAGATTTTGTGTTTGAGGTGGGGGTCATGGTTGAGAGGAAGAAGGCATCGGTGTGTATGTGTGTGGTTTTTTCTTCTTATTTTTTATTTAATTATTTAACGTGATAAATGGAAAGTTGCTCTTTTACCCCTTTTTAAAATATTAAAAATGTGGTCAAAATTAAATTTTGGTCAACTGACAAAATTATTGATGGAAACTGTCCAAAATGATTTCACCTACAATATTTGAAAATGTTAGGGGTGACGGCTGCAACAAATTAAAAATCTGGGGAAAGTCTGCTAATATTTCAAAGATTTGGGATTTTGCTACAATTATCCCTTATTTTTATATGTCTAATATACTCTTATTTAATTTTGGCATAGTTAATAATTAATTAATAACATTAATTTAATTTATTCAACATGAAGTTAAAAATAAAAATAATTTTCTTTTCCATTTGTTAATAATTTTCTAAATTAATTTTTTTATATTATATTAATTTTTATTAAAAGATTTTATTATAAAAATATAACTTAAGTTTCTTTCATTAGTTAAATTAGTCCATTTAAAAAAATAACATCCATATTCTCTTATTTAAATGACTGTTTCATTTTATTGTTTCATACATTTCTTAACAACTAAATAATATATTTAATGTAACAAAATTAATGCATACAGAATATAGATATATAATTTGATAAAATTTTATTGTATGTTATATTTATCCTTATATAAAAGTTGTTTTAATAGGTAGTTGCAGATGAATCCCCATGATACGTAATTTTGAATAAAAATAGAATACCAACTGTTAGGGTAATATATATTCCACTAAATTTTTTATTGAATACAAAACATTATCACTACAATGAACACTTATAATCTTTGTCCACTTTCACACTTAAGTCCTCGATTATTTTCCCTATATTCTTATTGTTATAGGAAACTAAATAAATTATTATAACACTATAATCCGTGTTGAAATTCTAAACCATCCACACACAATATTAACAGATTAAAAATTCCAATACACAGAGAGAACTTACAATTAAAGAAGATGGAGAGAGTCTGTTGAAGCTACGTTTTTTTATTTTCTGCAAATGGAGAGCATGTG